TAGTAAATTGTTAAGTTTTTGTAGAAGTTTTTATTTTATTTTATTTTTATGTTGTACATACATTTGAAGGTTCTATAGGTTCTTCATAACGTGGCAGAATGTTTACTGTATATTTTCACACAAGGCTTAATTTGTAAAGCGATTGATGTCAGAATGCAAATAGTGGGCAGGCCAGCGGGGGGTGGGGGGTTCTTGGGGTCCTCCCCCAGAAAATTTAGAATAAAGTAGATGCGATTTCCTGCATTTTGGTGTTTTTTAACAAGTTGTTAAACATCTACATTTACCTATATTTGTAAACACGCCGCTTGTGTCAAGATCCTATCCCCCACCCCTCAACAGGTTCTGAGCACGACTCTTTTCCGCTGAATTCAGGGTCCTTGCTCGTTGTCCTCCTCCACATGTGAAACCTCCAGGCTCCTCCTCCGTCTGTTCATGGCAGCTGCCTGTGAGCTCCTGCTCGTGTACGACTGTCTGGTTAGCTCGGCACTCACCCCCACCACTCACTCGCTCCTCCTCCAATCTCTATTGCCACTGCCTTCTAGTGCTTCAATTCTCGGTTGTCCAATGAGAAGCCTTTTTTAATGAAAGTAAATTGGACTGTCTTTTTGACATTTTGATCATTTGTGATCATTTCGACATTTTGAGGGTAGAAGCAGAAATGTTTACTTGAAGGGGCAGCTCGTATGTGATATTAAGAAGCTTGTAAGTGGCTGTTGTTTTTAAAATTAGTTATGTAATTTTTTTCATTTTACATAGCCAGTGTAAGTTTTCTCCGTTCAAAGCAGTCATATTTGGTCATAACTTTATTATTAGTAAGCCTGAGATCCAAGCAAAGAGTTATTGGAACGCACCCTGTCAAAATAAAAGTTCCCAGATCCTGTTCTGGCGGGATCCGGCTCAAATTAAGCCATGCTTGCCGTTTCATTGACCATTAGTTCCATGACTGTAACCTTCTTCATGAGAGCAACTTGGATAAATTCAAGATTTTCACAACTGTTTTAATTTAAAAACAAATGTTGTGTGCATGATTTGCTTTGACAACTGTTGTAACTGTTAGACAACTCAATGTTGCAATAAAATACATATA